GACAACAAGTAGCTGGAATGGATGGCGAAGCCGCTGCTAAACACGTAACCCCACCGACAGAGTGACACAGGGGCTGGAACCTCCGCGGCCGCCCGAGGGATGCAGGTCCCGCTCTCACGGGCTGCCCCCGCTCAGGCACATCTGCCAAGAGCCTCAAGGACGGGTGGGAAGAGCCGCGGGAGGGAACTCCCCTGACCCGGGTGCGAGGCTGCGATCAGTGTGTGTGCGTGTGTCCGCGCGTCCGTGTGTCCCTGCCCGCAGCGCTGCCGGGGCAGCGGGGCCGAGCGGGCTCCTTATCCCGGGGCTGCGGCGGGGAGGAGCCAGCGCCGCTCCGAGCCGAGCGCCGGCAGCGCTCCCGCACCGCGCCGGGTCCCGCACCGGCACCGCTCCAGCTCCCGCTCCGCGTCTGAGCCGGCACCGGCACCGGCCCCGCTCCAACCCGCTCCTGCTCCGCCACCGCTTCCCATCCGACTCCTGCTCCTGCTCCGGCATCAGCGCCGCTCCAGACCCTCCCCGGCACCGGCCCCGCTCCCGAACCGCTCCCGGCTCGTTCCCAGCGCGGCCCCGCTCCCGGCCCGGCCCCGGAGCGGCCCCGCGGCTCCCGCAGCACCGCCCCGGCTCTGCCCCGGCTCTGCCCCGGCTCTGCCCCGGCTCTGCCCCGGCTCTGCCCCGGCTCTGCCCCGGCCCCGCGGTGCCGGCGGCAGGAAGGAGGAAGGGACACGGCAGGAGAGAGAGCGACCTGCTCGGTGAGTGCCCCCCCGGCGGGATGGGGGTCCCCGTCCGCCCCCCCGCCAGCCCCGCTGCCTTTGGGACTGCTTGGGGCGGAAAGTGCGAGGGGAGGGAAGAGCTGAAGTTGGAGGTATGGGGAGGGAGGGTTCAGCTCGGTACGGAGCGCAGCGAGAATTTATACCTGTCTGTGCCCTGCTGCGGGAGATTCCTGCGCGTGTTTTGGTCCTAAACCTTGATTAGGGAGCTCTGGTCAACGCTTCGGTCATTATAAACTTTGGCAGACACCCCTGGCGTGGGTCCCGCTGGGAAGGTCCTGGGGGGACCCTTGCAGTGGGAGAGTTGCCGGGGTGGGGGGCTGTGACACCCAGGGTCTGTGTGGTGGCTTCCCCGGCTCAGGCAGGAGCCCTGCCGCTGGCTGGCCGGCGTTCCCCTTGCGCTGCATTTTTTGGTGGCTGTCACTATCAGCTGCATCTCTCCAGCACCGCCTGTTGCTCTGACGAGTTCCCAGGGATGTGGGAGAACTCGCCCCAGAATGCCTGTCCCCCCTCCTCGCTCCTGAGAGCTGCTCTCCCTGCCGTGCCAGCCCTGCCTCCTGAAAAGTCAGGCTTTAGTAGACTGGCTCATCTCTCCATGAAAACAACCTGGAATGAGCGTGTTGGCACAACAGTGGTGTTAGCTCTGAAAAGAAGGAACATCAGGGTCAGGCCTGGGGCTGCTGGCAGTGGGTTTTGTGCTGTGCATCAGGCAGATGAACAGTGTGATGTGATGTGTGTGTCAGGCTTGGAGAAGGTGCCTGAAGGGGAAGAGCTTTGAACAAGCATCAGGCAGAAAGTTAGAGCCTCTGGATAAGATCTGTGAAAGGGCAAGTGCCTTCAGACAGGACCCTGCAAGGAAAACAGGATTAATTTCCTCCTCAGTGGTTGTGGGGGCAGCACAAAGACCTGCAGATGTGCTTCCCCACAGCTGAAAAGGGGTAAATGCAAGCTGAGTCTTGTTTTCCTGCCTCACGAGGCTTTGCCAGGGCATCTGGGTCACCCCATCTGTGGAGAGCTCGTGAAAACCAGTTCCCATGATCCTGAAAAGATTCTCTGGGTGCAAACAGCCAGCCAGGAGATAACTGGATGGTTTGTGTCAGCAGGAACACGTCAGTGGGGGCACACTGAGGTCTCAAAGGGCATTTGTAGTCTAGAGCATCCTTTTCCTCCCTGGGGAAGATCCATGGATGGGAGGTGACACGTCCTAGACCCCGATGCACAGGAGGAACAGAGGCAGGAATAGGAGGGCACCTGGTTCACCAGCTGGCACCTCACCCCTGAAACTTCATCTCTGTGTGTAGGTGTGAGGCACCCAGCTCACAGGGCACTGATTTTTAGGCTCCTGTCAAGCCAGAAAACTTCTGAGCGAGTTTTGGTATCTGTTCTCCACACGGGACCACTTTTGATGGCAGCTCTTGCAGATTTGTTTCCAAGCACTCAGGTTTACTCACCCATGCTGGAAAATATTGGTACCGTGACCAAATGAGAGCAATTAATAAATGAGTAGTGGAACAACCTCGCAAGCAATAGCTGGGAGTTCCCCCTCTCTTGGACAGAGAGAAAGAAAGAGAGGAAAATTTGTAACTAAGCAGGACTCTGAGGATCTGTCCCTGTCCACGGCCTTGCCATGGATTCTGCCTGACCTTGGCCACGTCACCACCATATCCCCATGTCTGAGTCCCCCCATCTGTTAACACTTGACCTTGCTTTGTTCTCGGAGTTTTGCTCCCTGAGCTCTGCAGGGCTTTGGGATGCTGGCAGGGATGGGCGTGGAAGCACTAAAATCCTCCTCTCAATGCCACGAAGGCCCCTTTCAGTGAACAAGCTCTTTGTGGTCCCTGAATGGACCCTTCAGACAGGCTTTGCTGCCCAGCCAGTGGCAGAGCCAAGTGATGGTGTCACATATTCGGAGGTTACAGGTGACTGAAATGCAGCTGGATGTGCTTGGCTGATTTTTACTGGCTCCCCAAGGAGCTGCTTTAAATCTTTGGCTTTATCAGCTTTTATCTGCTGCCTTTCACGGGCATTCGTTGCCAGTGTCACTGCCTTGTTTGTCAGGGTACAGCCCTGAGCAGGGGGGCTGGAGGGGACAGATTTTGCCTTCTGTTGCTGGCACTGGATCCAGACGAGGTAGATGAAGGCAGCTGCATTTTGCACGTGGTAAAACAGAGAGGCAAAATGGCTCAAGGTGTTACAAGGAGCCTGTGGCAGCTCAGGGAGTTGAGTTTTGATCTCCCAAGGCCATGAGATCCCTCTGTTCTCTCTGTCCTGCCACCTGGTCAGACAGAAACCTGTGTCTGTACCTTCCATAGGTCATGTCTGCATTAAAATATCCACGTCGCAGCTTCCACTGAGACCATCCCTTTGGTCTGGCCTTCTGGAGAGAAATCAATGTTTGGTCAACCCTTGTAAACCCTGAGACATTCCTCTGGCTTCCACACAGACCTGAGGTTTGGGCCAGGAGGCCTGAGAATCTCCAGAAAATCTGGGATGCGTGTTTGGGAATCGTGTCAAATAACAGTAAGAGTTTCCAAGAAGGTTTATACTCAGTAGGAGCCTCCCAAATTCTCCTTCCACGCTCAGGGGAATTGAGGCAAACTTAAGGCAGCTTCTCCAGGCAAGAGGACAGGGGCTCTTGGCTCTGGGGCCAGTTCAGAGCAGATCCCAAGCTGGCCTGGAGTGAGTTCTGCTGGCTGTAACTCTTGTACTGACACCCAGAAAGGTCAGCTCTGCTCTCTGCCACGGTCTTGCTTTACTTCTTTACAGGTAGAACACCAGCAAAAGGTCTCTATTTAAAAAAGGCCCTTTGCTTGCTTTCAGAGGTTTGACCTGCTGGGTTTGCTTTCCTCTAAATTCACTTGCTCCTGCTGTTTGCAAAGGGAAAACCCAGAGCAGAAAGCAACCTGTTGATTAATGTAGATGCAAAAGCCCAGATTACAATCTGGTGAACAATTAACTTCGAGGAGTCGATCTGTAATCAGCCAGAGCATCTTTTGCTCTCTTTCTAATCAGGGTTTCTTTTCAGGTAGCGTTTTGCCCGCAGCCAGCGCTGCTCATCTGCCTCTTGTTTGCTCAGTCGCTCACAGTCTCGGCTGGTATCTTTGTCTCGGCAGCCTGGCTGGAAAAGAAACTGCTGTGGAATTATTTTCGAGCCGCAGAGCAGAGCGGGGTGAGCCCTGGGAGCCGGCTGGGCTCTGTCTGCGCTCCTGCCACCGCTGCCACCTCTCATCTGTCTCCTCCTTTCTTTGCCTCCTCCTTCGCCTCCTTCCAGCTGCGTCTCCGAACTCGAGACCTGTCTTCTCTCTCGCCTTCTGGGCTCCCTCGCTGCTTCGGGGATGGGCTCCAAGCCGCCCGCAATTAAGGCTGGATTTTTGCAGGCGCGCCGCATTCCCGCTGGGAGATGTCCACATGTCCCCGGCAGCGCGTCCCTGCCCGCTGGGCTGATCTCTGCTGAAAATCCGGCCCTTCCTTTTCACACCTGAGCAGCAGCCGGGGCTCTCGTTAAAACTCTCTCAGCCCTGTGCTGAATGCATAATGCAGCTTTTCAAGCGCAGGCAGGACCCGCGGGAATGCAGCTCACGGAGCGGGAGGATGCTCCAGGCTTTGGGGCACTTGGCTCCTGCTGCCAGCACCGGCCCTTCTGCTTTTGTTTGTGGTTTCTCTGTGCCCCCGACTCCCATCGGGGGCCGTCCCTGCCACCCCAGGGTGCTGGGAGGGTCAAAAACCCTGCGAGTGTGCACGCTGAGGGATGTTTGAGCTGCTGTTTTCAAGGATTGGTGCTCGTTGCCTTTCGGGAGCCAGGTCTCCTGGAGCAGCTCAGTTGGAACGTTTCCAAGATCTCAGCTTGGTCTGATCTGTGGTTTTGCTTCCCTTTCACCTTCCCTTGTGGCTTTGAATCAGGCATTTTAGAGCAGGGACAATTCCTCACGAGCCCCTCTATCCCCGGGCCCAGCAGGCGCTGCCAGGACAACAATAATTACATTATTTGAGTGGCAAATTGCAGATCCAGAGCTGTCAGTGCCTGGTACCTGTCACCTCTGCCAGCACTGCAGGAGCACGGGGATCATCAGAGCTGCTGCTGGGATGCAGAGAGGAGGGAGCAAACAGGATGGATTTAGTGGTGTTGGATTTACTGCCCTTTCCTTAGTGCCTGGGAAGGGAAGGTTTCTGTCTGCACTTGCATTGCCAGTGGAGACACTCCAATTAATGGTGCATTCAATCCGATTGTTTTGTTACTTCCCCCCCCCTTTTTTTTTTTACTTTTTTATTTCGTTTCTTACTAATTCAATTAATTACAGCCAAACAATTCACCTTGGCACCACCCCGGAGTTCTGTCCTCATCATTTATCAGAGGGGAATATTCCTGGGGCTAGAAAATCCATCACTGATGGCCCTGGATCTCCAACCAGAGGTTTAAACTCCCTCTGACGAGCTGCTCTGCATTAAACAGCCCCTCTCTGTCTGGGCTCTGGGGTGACATGAATTTTGTTTGGCTTTTGGGCACCCTTTCAGTTTGCTCATGCAGTGATGTTTTCATTACTGGAGGCTTCTCCATGACCCCTCTCCCTCTCTTTCTCCCCCAATCTCCGAAATGCTCAGCTGTTTCCTGTAAAACAACCCAAATTTTCCCAGCTGGGGGGCTTTGGAGTGGGGCAGGGGACTGGATTTGACCAGTTTTGTGGGGTGTTGCTGTTGTTCTGGCGACTTTTAATTGAATTGCTCCATTAAAAAAGGAGAGGCTGTTGAAGCTGTAAACACTGAAACCTCCGAAAAAAATCAAAATGTGCCTTTTTTGGGAAGCAGAAACATTCCAAACGTTCCGTTTTTTTTCCTGCTATTTCTCTATTTCGCTTGAAATGGTTTATTTTTACTGGGTCTATTTAATTATTCGGTCAGTGTTAATATGCTGGTCACTGAGGGGTTGTGATTCCTGATCCCAGCTGGATTTATCCTTAAACCACCCCCCTCAGGCATCGCTTTTCCCTCACTCCAGTTCCTCCCAGAAATTCCCACTCTTGAAGCCACTTCTTTTTTTAGTTGCTAAATCTGACGAGGTTCGTGAGCAGGAGCCTCAGTTCTGCACTTGGGAACACGCACACGCATATAAATTCATCGGTTTGGGGGTGGGTTTTTTCTGTCTTCCAGCATGGAATATCACCTGGAGCTTGGATTTGTGCCTTCTAGCACTTGGATTATTTGCTGGAGAACCTTTTAGACTGGCAGCTGATGTGCCAGGCCTGTGCTGGAGCAAAGGCTGAGCTGTGGATGCCCAAGGACGCAGCCAGGGACCTGCAGGGATCTTCAGCAGATCCCAGAAACTGAGGATCCAAGTCCTGATCCAGTAGATCCCGTGCTGCAGTGATCTGGGAACAACAGAGCAATGGAAACGCTGCAGGAGGGGGTTTGGAGGCAGAATCCAGGGTTTGGAGGAAGGATCCAGGGTTTGGAGGAAGGATCCAGGATTTGGAGGAAGGATCCAGGATTTGGAGGCAGGATGCAGGGTTTGGAGGAAGGATCCAGGATTTGGAGGCAGGATGCAGGGTTTGGAGGCAGGATGCAGGGTTTGGAGGCAGGATGCAGGATTTGGAGGCAGGATCCAGGGTTTGGAGGCAGGATTCAAGGGTTTGGAGGCAGGATTCAAGGGTTTGGAGGCAGGATTCAAGGGTTTAAGGTAGAATCAAGGGCTTGGGAGTAGGTTTCAAGGGTTTAAGGCAAGATCCAGGGTTTGGGGGTAGAATTCCAGATTTGGAGGCAGGATCCAAGGTTTGGAAGAAGGATCCAGGTTTTGGAGGCAGAATCCAGGGTTTGGAGGCAGGATGCAGGGTTTGGAGGCAGGATGCAGGGTTTGGAGGCAGGATGCAGGGTTTGGAGGCAAGATCCAGGGTTTGGAGGAAGGATCCAGGGCCAGATCTCCTGGGCTCTTTTCCTGGCTGTGCCACTGACTTGCTGTGTGACCTCGGGTGAGTCCCATCCCATCTCCAGATTCCCGATTTTCCTGTCTCAGTGGGAGGGGGGACAGCAGCCAGATTCCCACTAGGCTGGAGTACAGCTGGTATTGGTCAGCTGCTGGGCTTTCCTTGAGGGAGCAGTGACCCCAGAGGGGCCAGGAGCTGTTCCCGAGGTTCCTTTGGACACAATAACCTTCCCAGCATCTGTTCCCCGTGCTCGACCCGGGATAAACAGTTCCAAGCTTTTCAGTGCAAGGTGGAAAATATGGAAAATCTGCATTCAGCCTGGAGCACCTATCCCTCCTTCTGCCACAGACACTCCCGAGGGCTGGTCAGCTTGTAATTATTAACTAATTACCGCGCAGCAATCACTGTGCCACAGGCTACAGGAAGTAGGGGCACTCAGGAACAGGCAGTGTCCCACAAATCCCAGCCTCCCCTTATCTGTCCTTTTGATTTTTGCCGGGTTGGTGTCTGGCTGCAGCCCTGCCCCACGGGCCAGGACACGATTCCTGCCGCTGGAATTCTCCACACACTGTTTGCTTTTCGTGTTTGCAGTCGGGGCACTGAAGGCCAGTGTTAGTCCAGAGCAGGGAACAGCCACATCCCGGGGCCGTGGCTGGGAGGAGGAGCCCTTGGCAGGGCTGCCAGTGTTCCCCATCCTGCCTGAGGAACACCACATCCAGGGGGGAGCATTCCCAGCCCACCCCACAGTGCAGGCATTGATCCCGGGTGTTCCCTGGGCACGGCACTGCCCAGAGGAGGTGAAGGAGCAGCTGGGACTGAAAAGCCTCTCTTTATCCCAGGATTGGGCATGGACAGGGAGCTGCTCTGCCACTGGGGCTGTGGGATGCTGGGACCTTCTGTGTGGGATGCAACAGGGTTGGTCCCCATGTCCCACTGGGATGGGAGGGGATGGAGTCAATCCCATGGGCCTTTTGGGATGGGATGGATTCAGTTCCAATGGCCTGTTGGGTTGGGATGTGATAGAGTTGGTCCCCATGTCCCACTGGGATGGGATGGGATGGGATGGGATGGGATGGAGTGAGTCCCCGTGGCCCTTTTGGGATGGGATGTGATGGAGTCAGTCCCCATGGCCCCTTTGGAATGGGATGCAATGGATAAGTCCCATGGCCCTTTTGGGATGGGATGTGATGGAGTCAGTCCCCATGGCCCCTTTGGAATGGGATGCAATGGATGCAGTCCCGTGGCCCTTTTGGGATGGGATGTGGTGGAGTTGGTCCTCACGACCTGTTGGGGTGGGATGGGATGTGACTGAGTCAGTCCCCACGGCTCACTGGGATGGGATGCAATGGAATTGGTCCCCATGTGCCACTGGGATGGGTGTGCTGGGAATGCTGCCTGTTATTGGGGGTCCACAGGACCTGGGGGACAGCACAGAGCCTGTGTCACCCCTCACTGCCACCTCAGCCAGAGCAGGGGAAGAACTTGCACTGTGGCCTTGCCCATCAGCTGGAATAATCTACTTTTTGAGGAAGAGCTGGAGTCTGGAATGCTGCCCAGTGCAGGGGAGACTCACTGTAGGCTTGTGTGGTCGAGGCAAGAAGCGCCCGAGGGGTGCCCTGGGCAGAGCAGCCACGGGGTTTGTTTTTCTGCTGGTTTGGTGTTTGGTTCAAGGCTGAAAAGTTCCCTGCTGTGGGTGTGGGGTGGGGGAGGATGGGCTGTCAGGGCCGGCACAAATCCTGTCACCACCCAGAGCCGCAGGGAATGGGGACACAGGGAGGAGAAGCTGCAGGGGTGGGAGTTGGAGCCCCGCAGTCCTTGCCTTGACCAGGCACCTCCGGGCTGTTCCTGCCCTTTGGAAGGGTCCCAAAAAGGCTGTGGATGGTCCTGGCAGCACCTGGGCAGTGCCTGGGGTTTAGGCAGGAATTTGGAAACACCATTTGCAATGTAAATTGGTGCAGGGGGGAGGGAGAGGGGGGACAGAGAAACGATGTTGTGTGCCTGGGGAGTCTGAGGAGGAGGAGGAGGCAGAACTAGTGGTTTTACTGCTCTTTTTGGTTACAGCCAGAGATTGGTTTGTGCCTCATCCAAATTAAAATGCAGAGAGCGTCTCTGTGTCCCCAGACTGCTCCCTCCATTAAACAAACCAGCACAACACCCCCACACCACCTTCACATCCCTCCCTCCCACCAGCCTCCTGCTTTAGCAACAACTCCCAAAGCCCCTGGAACAGAGCAGGAGCAGCAGGAGCTTTCCCATCATTCCTGTTGATGCCCTGGCCCTGGAGAGGCAAACCTGGAATGCACAGAAGTGCCCATCGTGCTGCTGAATCCCCTCAGACTCCAGTGCAGCCACACAGGGATGGAACAAACAGCTATTTCCTCAGTGCAGAAGGTGCAGAGAAAAGGTCCATCCGAGCCATTCCAATTCCAGGAAAACACGACACAGTGTCTGAGGGAGAAGGAGTACTTTTATAAATTACCACTAGCAGCATGTGTTCTATTTAAGTACTTAATCCCCTTCAATCCCTTCTTATTAACGATTAATTGTGCAACTAATTGCACTATCATAGCCTGGCAAGCACACGGGGCTGCAGTGGGCACGACCAACCCCAGCAGATAAGAACTGGGTGCAGTGGGGAGAGGGGGGCACTGATGCTCTGCTGTGTGAACACAGGCCAAATCCCTCTCTCTCTTTGGGCCTCAGGATTATAATCCTTCCTTATCTCGAGCATTTCCTATGAAGCAACAACTTATCAGCTGGTGAGGCAGGAGAGGAGGATTGAAAACACCCGAGCGAGCTCTGAGCAGCCCTGCTCAGTGTCATCCCTTCTCATCCCAAGCTTTTGTGGCTTGGAGTCTCCTTGGCTCCTGGGAAAAACCACGAGGAAACAGCTTGGTGTTTTGGCTGGGGGAAGGAGGGGGAAAGCACTATATTTGAATTTTATTTCCGTTGGTTTCTGCTTCTGATGCCTCACAACAGCCCAGCAGGCTGCAGGCACGTGCTCAGCCCAGCACCTCTCTCCTCCCAGCAGCGTCCAAGGACTTGTGAGCCCGGGGCCGTGTGTTTTCCCGGGAGAGATCTCTGTTCCTCGTGCTCTCTCCCTCTGTTTATCTCCCCCCTGGGCTCTGTTATCTCCCTCAGTTTCCAAGGCTCGTGCAGAAACCAATCCTGCTTGTCAAGGACGTCGGAGCTGTGGGGGGACTCCACCAGGACTCAGCAAAGGTTGGGATAGGTTTTAAAGTCCGGGAGGGGGGGGAGGCGAAGTGGAAAAATCATCTTTAAAAAAGAAAAAAAAAAAAAAAAAGAGATAAATCCATTACTTTAAACCCCACCAAACACACTTGCTTTGTCTGCCATCCCTGCAGCTTTGAGGACACGGGGCTGGGGCTCGGTTTGGCTCGGTGAGCCAGATGTTATTTACAGTTTAACAAGGAACAAGGTTTATCTAAACACTGTGTGCTCGCAGAGTTCCCAGATATGCATGAAATGTTGCCCTCCGTGGGGAGGCGAGCGGGGGTTTGCAGGCACTGGGGCGTGTTTAAGCTGTTGATACACGTTTCACCTGGGATCTCTCTGTTCCCCATCCAGCCCTGTCCGTGTTTGGTCTGCCATGGAAATATCAGAGTTGTGGTGGTGCCTGGCTGTGCTGGGGTGAGGATTTTAGGCAGGGAGGTGACCCCAGGCAGTGCAAGGATGCCCTGCTGCTCCCTCAGGGGCAGTTTCCTGGAAGGCAGCAGGATCCAGGGTGGGATCCTGGAAAGCTTTCACCATCACGGGGCCTCTCAGGGCTCTTGGGCAACCCACAGCCTCCTTGTGGCACCCCTGTGTCCAAGGAAAATGGTTTGAGGAGAAGGGAGAGCCATCCCTGGAGCTGTTTGTGCTGAGGAAAGGGTGTCCCAAAGCCTGGCGTCCTGGCAGCAACGCTCTGGCCAAGTCTGCTGCCTCCAAACAGTGCTGGTACCACCCTGGCATCCCTGGCAGCCACCTCTTGGCTCAGGAGGATTTTTTTAAATCCCCTGCCTTCCCTCCAGCAGCTCAGTGGGACAGAATTCCCTGCTCACCAGCTGGAGGGTGATCCCTTCCCTCGTGGGGAGGCTCTGGATCTGGGAAGCAGAGCCAGGAAGGGTCACAGAGGTGCCCACGTGCACATCCCACCCTGGCTGGGGCTCTGAGATCATCCTGATGAGGAAGGGTTGGGATGAGAGATGTTGCAGCTTTGCTTTTCCTCCTTCTGGGGGAGAGGGATCCAAAAGCAATTACGGCTCCTGCAGTGCTTTGAAATCCTCTGATTCCTCGAGCGTTGGCTCCTCGTGCTCCCTACCTGTGTGGCTGCTCTTCCCTCACATCTCAGGGGGAAAATCCACGTGCACAAAGCCCTCCAAGGG